TTATCCATAAGAAATTGTACTTTAGTCCCTTTTCTCTGTCTATTTGGCACAAAGCTCATCCCAACATTTCTATTTCCCTTCTAGTTAAGATTGACAATTCCACCTCCGGGAATCTTTCATATTTAGGGAGCTTCTTCCAGTGACCCTAGGCTGTGAACCAATACCAATAGCAAGCAGGGCAGGAGTTCTGGACCTACAAGACCCTGAAATTACATGCACATATATGTGGATGAGAGGCCTTCTCTGGTGAGTGCATCAGTAGCTTTCATGACTTTCAAGGGGATCCTTGGCACACAAAAATGATTATTAATCAATCACCAAGGTAAAAAGGATTAGGATGATCAAATCATCCACCATGAATGTAGGGCAAAGAAGCCAGTCGTCAGGTTACCAACTAGATGTTTGGCTTGGCGAATCAGACAACTATACACTCAAGAGGAATGAAGAGGGAAAGAGAGAAGCATGGCCTTTTAGGGCTTTACCAGAAACCTATCCCTCCATTAAAACTGCCATGTGAGAGCCCACACTGCTGAGAACTGGACATGACCTCCAAGTCCCACCAAATGAGCCAACCCTCACTCCACTGAACTACACAAGGAGGCAGCTAAGTCAAATAGAAAAACACTGGGAGGCAGAAGATCTGAATTTCAGCTCTTAGAATAACTTCTGTTCTGTCATGTGGTAGCTGTGTGACCTTGGGCAACTCATTTCACTTCTTCCATCCTCATTTTCCACATCCAAACAGAAAGTTTACAACAGAGGAACTTCCATAGGCATGTGTAGCTCTACCATTCTATGAATGTCCCCTACTGAACAAGCATCTCCACTACCCTCTCCAGAACAAAGAATAACTTCACTCTGGCTTTACAGCATCACACAGTCTTAAAGTCACACAGTTCTCTCTTGTGGCTAACAGAAATTCTTCCAATTACAACTGAAGCTTGCTGCTTTCATGCAAAGAAAAGCTAATTTGAGTACAGAGCACTCTTGAACCAGTAACACCAATGCCTTGACATCCGTCTCTATCCCAAACCCAGTTTGCAATGATTATTAACCATTAAGTCTCAAGAGCTCCATTCTCCTTTCAAGGCAGTTGGTAAAGAAAAACAAAGTTCTGGGAATTAATAATAGTCAAGGGATCCAAGAAGGGTCAATAGTCACATGAATTCTATTTCCCTTACCTTTAAATTTCCTTAAAGACGGCCTCAGCTTCCCATTGACAAAATGGACTCCCTTAAAACTGTAAACAGGACTCCAGCCCAGATTGGGTGTTGGGGCCACTGGAGAGAAACCCTGCACCAGCTAGCTTCCAACATGGCCCTTTACAACTATGTCTGAAAGACGATTATTCTGAAGGATAAAAGCAACTTTCCAACTAAACTTAATTCTTAATTCCAGGGTTCTCTAGTCAGCAGTGTATGTTCAGACTGATGGACTTTTTCTGAAGGCTGTACTGATGATACCTCTGGACCAGAAAATTAGAGGCCATGCTGAAATTTTCAGAATGTCAAAGGAAATAAACCGAGAGAACTGAGTCAGCCAAGGTTGAATAAGGATAGGTCTCTGCAGTCAAAGCAGAGCAGAGAAATGGGGCACTCTGCCCAATAAGTCAGCAGAAAGACAGAATTTGGGCCTGAATTATCAGGATAATTGCCTTAATTCTTCACTTCTCTTTCATAATAATAACCTTGAGTTTACATAGAGCCTTTCTTCTAAGCAGCTCAAAATACAGAGTTATTATCTTAGTTGTCATCACACCATCACATTCAGTGAGAGTGATGATTATTATGCGCCTCATTTTACAGAGTGGGTAAGGAAGGAAAGCCTGGAGGGGTAAAGCGAGTCATCCAAGCTTGCTCAGCAAGATGCCTACAGCTTCTGAACTCAGAACTCAGCGGAGAATGCTCTTGCCCAAAGAATGTTTCTCTCAACACTAGTAGAGCCAAATGCTTGTTGGAACACCAGGCACTGTGGGCAATTCAATCTGAGAAATGCTGCATATTTTATACTTCTGGAGAGTCACAATATTCATTAGCCTAGTAAAGACTTTGAGAAGCCCTTCAATAAACAAACCTGTTTATGTTTAAATAAGAATTTCCAAAACTTAACTTGACCACAAAACTGTGTGTTTGTGTGTGTGTTGGGTGGGGGTGGTATGACCTACTAACATTCTATGGAATTAGGCTTCTTTGGAACCTACACCAAAAAACACTGGTCTAGTAACTAGCCAGATTTGAGCATCAACACAGCTGACAGATCAATTCAATTCCAGCCCAAGCTTTGGAGAATGTATCTTAGAGATATTGCCTGATACCTTCTGATATTGACAGCCAGTGAACAAAGGACCTTTATGTGCCCAAAGTACCCTAGGCCATCAACTCCTCTGCAGCAAGGCATTGTCCAGACTAGGAAACAAGTCGATTCAAGCTCATCCACTTCTGGCATTCTTTTCAAATAAAACCCAGGGCTATTTTTGGTCTTCGTTTAAGGGGAGAGGTGCTCCAGATGCTGAACCATGTTTTCAAAACCACACTCTTAACTAGCAGAATTTTGTGCCCACCAGGCACTTCCAGTAGAAATAATCAGTCTCTTAGTCTCACTCCCAGTGCCATTTATCAGCCTATGAATTCAATCAGCACCAACACAACAAAACAGGAGACTCAGAATGTGCCCCTGTTCTGGATTAATGGCATGAATATTACAGCAGTCATTATTATAGATCCATTTTAAAACTAACATACAGCACAGAAATCTTCTGTAATTATTAATTACCAGTAACTCTACTAAAACTACCTAAAATGTAAAAATCCCTCAAGGTCCTGTTCAGGTGAACTTTTATTTTATACACAATTTGAATCATAACACATCCCAGCCAATGGATTCATGACTAGTATTTTCATATTTTCTTTTAGTAGTTATTAAACATCCACAGAATGAGAGGAAATTCCTGCACTGAAGTTGCTAAATTTTTGCACAGAAAGTAAATGTAATGCAGGTGTATCAGTCTTTATCCATTCATTGGCTATTGGAAAAAATTCTATTAATGGATTTTTGGTTAAAAAAATCACCGTAAAGGTCAAAGAGGCACTGTTGATTAACATAATCTGATTATGAATCCATTTGTAAAGCAGCAAATTCTGCAATGTGAATATTCTCCATTTAGTTTATTTGCCTTGCAGTCTCACATTTACATATATCAGATTTGCTTAAAGCAAAACACACTACTATTAATCAATGAGCCAGATGTTTCTTAAGATAGAGATGTGTTGTGATCTTTATCAATCTGCAATACTGGCTTTTTTTTTTTTTTTTTGATGGGCCACCAATCATCATTCCAAACCAGAGAGACCCATTCTAAGTTTGTTGAGAATTTGGCAGTCATACCTCCAAGGACTCCCTGCAGTCTCACTTAACTATGACCTCTCTACTTGTATACATGCTATTCTTTCAACTTAGGATACCATTTTCCACTTAGCAACCTGGTGAATTAGTTCTTTAAGACTCAACTGAAATGTCACCTTGCCCATGAAGCCTTTCTTGATCATAACCGCCATCCCCAACCAAGCATACCTCCCTCCTGCCCCCAAAATACCCTGCTGCCCCTTGTGGTACTCTACTCTAATTGTCTGTTTACACACTCTATCTTGCCTACCAGACTGTGCACCCCCTGTGAGCTGAGATGATGTTTTATTCATTTCTATATTTTCAATACTTAACATTACTAATACACAGCAGGCATGCAAAAAATGTCCAGTGTTTCATTAATCAGTATCTTTGACTGTATATTTTTGGACCCTGAAAAACAGTGCTTTATTAAAACCACAAATAAAAATGTCAAAGAGGCTTAGCAGTTTTCTTCATTTTTATTGATCTCTCTGTGATTAAAAACATGGCCATACTAGTTCATACCTTGTCATTCAAGAAAGGAAAAAAAACACCTTTTTATCAAATTCATGACTAATACATAGGTGTATTTAGTTTGTTCTTTAGCTCAAACATAGAACTACATCCTAGCACAGCACTAACTTCACTGTAGTAAGAAGCAAGACCTCAAGATATTAGGATCCACTAATTAAAATGGGTGTGGGAAGGCATTGCAGGGATCACTGTAAGAGCTTTGTATCCTCATTGGCTGAGAGAGGAAAACCTGCTAAGAAAGTTGGGCATCTTTGGGAGAACAATAACGATATCCAGTAGGGCTTGGTCAACCTGGCTCAAAATTCTGCATCCAGAAAGTCATAAGCAAAAGTCCCAGGTGGGGGGATTTCCATCACTTTGAAACCATCATTATCCTTCCAATGTGGGCAGAACAGGTTGGACCTGATCCACCTGCGTGTTGCTGCAGTCTGGCTTGGCGTGGGATGAGACCCAAGGACATGTAATGCCAAGAGTAGCCCAGCCCCATGGCGCAGACACACACGCGCACACCACTCCGACTCGCACTCACTGAATTCCGCACAAAATCCACACCATCTCCACGACACACACCACTGCATTCCTGTGTGCATACAGGGAGTGCCCTCTCACATTCTCTCACTTCCCTAGTCGGCCCGACCCATACCCCACATTGCCGGCGGACAGCAGCCTAGCCTGAAGCTGGAAGCTGATGAGGACTGGTTTTGTTGTATATAACAAAGCCCCAGGCACCCAGGTGCCCGGCTGGATCGTCTCCATCCATCTCTCCCCGCCCCCATCCCTAAGCTCCCTGAACAAGAGAAAGCTCAGCCCGGGGAAGTGGATGCAGGAGTGGGGACGCAAAGAAAGACAGCTTTAGAGGTGGGCGGGGGCAGGAGTCCGGGCAGCTTCAGTGCTCTCTCGCCATAAACCAAAAAGGACGGCGAACTGGCAAAGGGAACCAGCTTTCGCCCTCGATCTATTAATACAGCAAGACTGAAAACTGAGAAATAATCTACCCTTTCGCCCGCCCCATGCCCTTCCATCGGCTGTTGGAGCCACAAGAGCTCCAGCAGCCCGCAACAAAGCGCCCCCACTGCACAGACCTGTTCCAGCCTCTTCTTGGTCAGAGAGAAGAAGACCCACAGCCGAGGGTTTTGCCCTTCGCCGCTGGGCAGAAGCAGGGGATGGGAGGAAGAGCAGGAACTGGGGGAGCAAGGAGGACGAGAGGGGATAGATCACAGCCGCAGCGGCAGTGGTGGCGGCGGCGGCGGAGGTAGGAGGAGGAGGAAGAGGAGAAGGAGGCTGCGTCTGCGTTGGTGGCAGCTGCTGAGGATGCTCTGGCGAGAGGCAGGGCTGGGTGCGCGGGGTGCGGGCTCACGTGCGCCCCGTGGCTCAGGGATGCGCGCGCGTCTGGGTGTGTGAGAGCATCTGGGTGTATTTTGACTGTGATTATTCCAATTACGACCTAGACTGGGAACTTGTGGTTCCTGCAGCCAGGCGGAAGTGAAACCCTTCTAGTCTCTCAAGCCTGACTGTGCGGGTCTGGGGAACGGGGGCTGGGGGAAGCGAAGACGGGGAGAAGGTGCCAGTACCCCTTCCTTCAATCTTCTTTCTGGGCACTGGTAGTTTGCATCCACACCTATCTCTGGAAACCCTATAGCCAAGGAGAAAAGAAAGAGACCAAGGACAGTTACCATCACCTTCATATTGTACTGAGTGAGCACTCACGCTGTGCTGGGCACTGTCTGGACTAGTCAGAAGATAATTTCTGTTCTCACTGGGATTGACATTTATAAGCTGGAGTGCCTATAACTTCATACAGAATTTACATTCTACCCTTTATCCTGTATCTCTTTCCATTGCAATATCTCTGTCTCTGTAACCAAGTGGCATAAAATCAATTCTGTACTTTTTAGTCAGTTTAACCAATCAACATTATTCAGGTCCCTGGCTTCACTGGTGTCAAGGGGTCACCTAATGCTCTTGGCATTTTTCCTCTAGAAGTGGAGTACTCAGTTTAGATGAGGACTAAGACTGGTTTATTGGAGATCAGAGGGTTGAAGGTCATCACGGATCTAGTTGAGGATCCAGTTTGGACCTGCACCCCGAAAGCTAACACTTTCGGGGTACAGGTCCATTGTCAGGGACATAAGCTTCCCCCATGATTCAATTATTGGTTTTTGGAGCGCTGATGAAAATCTCCTTCCTACTCTTCATCTTTTCAGCATAGCATTTTGCTTCATCTTGCCTAATGGCTTATGCTTGTTGAGCACTTCCAGATTTACAAAGCGCTTTCTAATAACAACTTCCCTACCGTAGCATCTCTGTAAATTAGGCGTGGAAGATATCATTATTCCTATGGTACAGATAAGAAGCTAGAGTTCAGCAAGATTAAGTGGATGTAACTAAAATTACATGCTAATAAATGGCAGATCCAGAACTGATCCAGGCCTTTGGATTCCCAGGCCAAAGCTCCTTTTTAAAATTATATCCTGGAAAGAAACTTCAGATTCATCTATTTATCTCTATTGGAAGTAATGGTTTAGTGAAGGAAGTTGAAGTTACTAATTAAAATAAGAGGTAAAAATATTTTCAGTTAAATTGATATATTCAGATGCAATCCATAAATCAGTAGGCAAAAAAGAATTAGCCACTTTTAGGCCTCAGACCCCAACCAGCACACATAAGTGTTCCTTTGATTCTGCTACCAGCTACTGCAAGAAAAATTTGAAATGAAGATGCAGAAAGGACAATAAGAAAAGAGTCTGAGTTTCCCAGGGTGATAAGCTTGTAAACGATTCCCCCACAAACTAGATCTGCCTCCTCTAAGTCATGAGAATGAATCATTGTTTGCCACCCAGTGAGGAAACCTATCTTCTACACACCAGCCTGGGCAGTCCCAAGCGTGTGGATATCAAACAGGAGAGGCAGGTTAGCACAGTGGGCAAAAGCTAGACTCTGCATACGGACAGCCATAGCTGGAAAACCTTGGAAGATGACACAATATCAATGGCTTCCTCTGTAAAATGGGGGTAGAGGTGTGAGAACGAAATGAAGTAAGTGCTTGAGATACAGCAAGGCTCAATAAAACAATAAATGTTATTATTAGACAAAAGTCAAACAACAGCTTCATTATTGAATCTTTCTCCTTTAAAGGCAGAAATGATTTGTTACCAATAGTATCCCAACATTGAGGGAATGCAGAGGAAGAGAGAGTTTTTCTCCAGGATAGGAGAGATAAAATGCTGGTGACAGAAGATACGCATGATAAAGTCAAGATGAGAGATTTTCTACAATATTGAGCACCAACATGGAACATAGGAGAGAACAGGACCAGAACAGGAGGATGAAGAGACGACACAAGATTGGGTGATAGATTGTGACCCAGATTCTTGCCACTCATGGTTACTGTGATTGAATGGGAGGGTATGTCTGTTGATGGCTCTGCAACAGTGTACATGGTTTGACTTAAAGGGGTGTTTTGGTTCTTTTAAACAAATGCCTGTTGATCAAAATACCTAATAAAAAACCCATTCAGAATCTATCAAAAGTACCTGAATCTGATACTCAGCCAGGGACTCCCTGTTCCAATCTGCTACCAAATAGGATCTAGTCTTGTTTGAGCCTTGCCAAGCACAGAGAGGTTGAGTCATAACAATGCTCAGAGCCAAGATGCAGAAAAATTGTGAAGGAGGTGAAATCTGTTTCTGATACCTTTCCAGTCTCTCTGTGTTGCACCCTTTCCTTCCCACTTCTAAGTTCTCGATATCAAACTCTCTACTTTCTAAGCCAGGGAAAGAGCAATGTGAGTAATGCATTCACAAAGAAGTGCCTTTACATGCTTTTCTTCTGAAAAGAAAGACTAACAGGAGGAGACAAGGCTAAACTCAACAAAATGAATGGATCGCTAATGATAGAAGTTCAGGCATTGTGGGTGATCAAAATGCTTTGAGTGTCCTAAAATCATATTTGGTATGAGACTCTCCAAAAACCAGACTTTGGGAATTATAATTCGTGACACAACAGAAATGGAGAACATTTAGAGGCATCAGTTACTCCAATCCGACCCCTTTGTTTTGCAAGTGATTAACAAAGGCTCAGAAAAGATAAGTGACTTTCCCCAGAGCACATAGCTCCAAAAAAGAGAGCCATGACTTGAATTACAAGCACAGAGCCTTTTCCACCACACTGTGCTGCTCCATTGGCCAGGAAGAAAGCTAGGAACAATTGCTTAGAAACTGATTTTTAAGACATTTTTTCAGATATATAGGAATTACATGAAAACAAGAACACAAGTGAGGAAGGAAGATGCAGTCCTCTTTTTGCTTCTTTTGGCGTTCTCCTCACAAATTATTTTTTTTCCTAGTAGCTTCATCCTGAGGCCACTTTAAGCAAGATTGACATGAAGAATGGTCTTTGTTATGCTAAGCAGCTATAATTGGAAATAATACTAGAGATATGAGAGTAAACTGTGGGTAGACAGAGTCTAGATCACTCCTTGAATCTTAAATTTTAGAATGAATCCCTGTTATGAGTAGATTATAATAAACTTTTTCTCAAAGAGAACAAGAAAAGACTCTAGTCAGTGGAAGTTTCCAGGTTTTTGGAGTCCTACTAATTAAGGCTTTATTGTAATCTCAAACACAGAAAGAATTTAAAATAATTTGACCTTTAAAAAATAAAATAAAAAACCCAACTCTATTTAAATTTGTTTTGCTTTGTTTTATCTTCATGTTTTCTGTCTAAGCTGTTGACAGTTATTTGGGATTAGAGAATTCCCGTGAGATTTATTAACTAGTCTCTCTACTTCTATACATATTTGAAATGTTCCATAACACAAATGTGAAAAAAGACATGGTTCCTGTTTTCGGAGCACTGGAAGAAACTCAGAATTCTATTGATCATAAGTACTTCTCTGTGTAAATTAGTATCACTTTCCTGGAGAACTTCAATGTATATTGAAATTGTAAAAAAAAAATTAAATGTGGAAAAAAAGTTCCCCCAGGCAATCTCCTGAATTTCTCAATTGGAAAAATAATTTGAAGCCCTGTTTTCCCTTTTTGATTAGATGATTTATTTTTACAGACAAGTCCTTTGACTGTTTCAGGACCCAATTTCTTGATCTACAAAATGGGGTAATAATTCTTAAGCACATATCTCTCTGCAAACTACAAAAAGTTGAAGCCTTGTGGAAAGAGTGCTACATAACCCATGGTTTTCAGATTTATATGTTGGAGGTGATACATGGTGAGTGTGGGTGGTATGTGTTGGCCCCTTCTAAGGTTAAATTATGAAGAAAATGGGATACAATTAATTTTAGACTTTCTGAAGTATTCATGTTAAAATAACAAGAGTAATCAACAAAACATACATATAAAATATGTAACTTTGAAATAAGTAGAGGGAAAATTGAATAAAAAATGAAACAAAGCTTAAGTCAAAAGAAGTCAAGAAAATAAGAGTAGGAAAATGAAACAGAAAATGGGACAAATAAAAAACACATATGAAGAGGGCAGGAATAAATCCAAATAGATTATTAATTGCTATACATCTAAATGGACTAAATACATCAATTAAAATGTCAAGGATGATCACAGCCAATAAAAGAACAACCTTGTTTTAGTCAATTTTCGTTTTGCTATAAAGTAATACCTGAAATGTATCTGTTCATATCCTTTGCCTATTTTTTAATGGGCTTGTTTTTTTTTTCCTGTAAATCTGTTTGAGTTCTTTGTAAATTCTGGATATCAGCCGTTTGTCAGATGGGTACACTGCAAAAATTTTTTCCCATTCTGTTGGTTGCCGATTCACTCTAGTGACTGTTTCTTTTGCCATGTGGAGTTTGATTAGGTCCCATTTGTCTATTTTGGCTTTTGATGCCAATGCTTTTGGTGTTTTGGTCATGAAGTCCTTGCCTACTTCTATGTCCTGAATGGTTTTGCCTAGATTTTCCTCTAGGGTTTTTATGGTGCCTTGTCTTATATTTAAGTCTTTAATCCATCTGGAGTTAATTTTAGTGTAAGGTGTCAGGAAGGGGTCCAATTTCTGCTTTCTGCATATGGTTAGCCAGTTTTCCCAACACCATTTATTAAACAGGGAATCCTTTCCCCATTGCTTGTTTTTGTCAGGTTTATCAAAGATTGTATGGTTGTAGATATGCTGTGTTGCCTCCAATGCCTCTGTTCTGTTCCATTGGTCTATATCTCTGTTTTGGTACCAGTACCATGCTGTTTTGATTACTGTAGCCTTGTAGTATAGTTTGAAGTCCGGTAGTCTGATGCTTCCTGCTGTGTTCTTTTTGCTTAGAATTGACTTGGCTATGCGGGCTCTCTTTTGGTTCCATATGAAGTTCATGGTGGTTTTTTCCAGTTCTGTGAAGAAAGTCAGTGGTAGCTTGATGGGGATAGCATTGATTCTGTAAATTACTTAGGGCAG